GTGTAAACAAAGTAGGACCTACAATAATGACGTGTAAACAAAGTAGGACCTACAGTAATGGGGTGTAAACAAAGTAGGACCTACGTTAACAGGGTGTAAACAAAGTAGGACCTACAATAATGACGTGTAAACAAAGTAGGACCTACAGTAACGGGGTATAAACAAAGTGGGACCCACAATAATGATGTATAAATAAAGTAGGACCTACAGTAAGGACACGTAAACAAAGTAGGATCGATAATAATGATATGTAAACAAAGTAGGACCTACAGTAATGGGGTGTAAACAAAGTAAGACCTACGTTAACAGGGTGTAAACAAAGTAGGACCTACAATAATGACGTGTAAACAAAGTAGGACCTACAATAACGAGGTGTAAACAAAGCGGGACCTACAATAACGAGGTGTAAACAAAGCGGGACCTACAATAATGAGACCCCAAATGAAGTCAGGTGCTACAATAACCACACGTAAACAAAGGGGGTCCTACGATAACAAGAAGTAAATAAAGTAGGTCCTAGGATAATAATAAGTAAACAAAGTCGGGACCACGATAAAAACATGCAAATGAAGCGGGTCCTACCGTAAACAGCCCTGTAATTAAAGCCGCGCCCGCCCTAACGAGCCCCGAATGCGGTAGGACCTACAGTAAACGAACCCCCGACCCCACGTAAACAAAGGACCTACAACAACAGCGCGATAAGGTAGGTCCTACGGAAACGATGTGTAAATAAAGCGGATCCTCTGCTAATTAATGCATAAATAATTAGGTCCTGCAGTAATAAACCCCCGACGACACGTAAACAAAGGGGGTCTGACGATAAGAATAGGTAAATAAAGTAGGTCCTACCATAACAAGAGATAAATAAAGTAGGTCCTACGATAATAATAAGTAAACAAAGTCGCTCCTACGATAAAAACATGCAAATGAAGCGAAACGGCCCCGTAATTAAAGCCGCGCCCGCCCTAACGAGCCCCGAATGCGGTAGGACCTACAGTAAACGAACCCCCGCCCCCACGTAAACAAAGGGGGACCTACAAGAACCACACGTAAACAAAGCGGCACAGCCCCGCGGTACAAAGCCCCAAACAGCCTTTTCTGCCTCTCCCAGTGTTCCCAGTCCCTCCCAGTGCCTCCCAGCCCCCCCCCCACACCTCCCCTGCCCTCCCAGTACCCTCCCAGTGCTCCCAGTCCGGGGTTATCTCAATCCCAGTTTCTTCTTCTCCCGCTGTTTCCGCCGCACCACCTCCAGGTTTCGGTCCTTCCACATACTCTTACGCAGTTTGATGGGGCGGCTGCCCACGTACTTCCCTGCAGAGGGAGGGGAGGGGGGAACTGGTGGGACTGGGAGCACTGGGAGGCACTGGGGGGGGCACTGGGGG